GTGCTGAAGAAACAGTCTTGGTCACAGGAACAGCACGCATTGGTTGCCATGCATTGCTACTAAATGGCTGATCATAATTCATTCCATGATCTATTCAACTAGCTAAAGGATCTCTAGTTAAGCATCCTTTTAAGGAATAATAGACGACTCCACAGGTCGATTGATCACAGGTTGTAGCATCTGATAAATGAATTGTAGGAGCCACCTTCCAATTTGTTTGTGTTCTAGGACAGATTAATTGTTGTTGCTCCACAATCCACACCCTCATCACCTTACACCACACATATTGGATTTGATCAATCCCTTTAAATCTGCCAAGGATGATATATCCACCAAAATTAAATATGACAGAGACACCTCACTATCAATGTTTGAGCATCTTTGTGATCTGCATTCTACAATGGTCAAAATTCTGCTCTACCTGATCCTTCCCTCAGCAAATGCTATCATGCTATGGTTTCATTGACTACCGGACATCTTAAATTTCTTTGCCACTTAATCACCAGGCAATTTTTTCCTTGAAAGCTACACTGCTTAAAGGTTGATGTCCTGCAAATCCATTCATCATCTTCCTTTTTCTTGAATTAATAATAATGGACTGAGATGTTAGTGACCCTATTTTAAACAAGAAATCAGTTCATCACCTTTGCTTGATTGCAAGAAGTGTTTGCAAAATATATTATTATCAACATCAATTGTCTTGAAATTGCATGCTTCACCATTTCTTCTCATGGATAAGATTGCCAACAAAAACAGGGAGAAAAGGTTTCAAATCTAAATCTTAAACTGGTAGTCGAAATGGGCTCTAAGTCTCAATTCCGTATCATCTATTTCTGTTGAGGTACCAAGTAGCACCTATACTTCAGCATTAATTGAAGAAGGAATTTTTGACCAAAGTGCTTTTTCATAAATAGAGTAGAAACTAGAAACTAAGGGCTATCCGAGCTGTCGGAGGGAAATTTTCATTCTTCAAACCATGCACAACCCAAAAAAAAAAAAAAAAAGTTTTTCCCTAGAGCTACCACTTGAAGGAATTTACAACTTTGAAAGTTACAATGTGTACCTAAGCATGTTCTCAAGCATTAATAGTAATAAATGGTAAGAAAAGTGTGTGGTTAACATGGTTTGAAATCTCTTAATTAGGCATGTCAATGAATAGAGTTTAGGTTGAATTCCTCTGATCCAAATTCACCCATTAAATTTACTTAGACCCATACCCAGATCCAAATGTCCAAAGCCAGACCATTCTAGATCCGGATATCCAATGGATATTCGTTGTATTTTTCTAAATACACTAAAATAAAAATATATTAAAAATATATAGATTTAAAAAAATTATATATATAAACACCATCCAATTTTTATTTTCAAATAATAAAATTAATATTTAAGAAATTGAATGTAATATTATGAACTCAAAAAAATAACTATTATCGACTGCTTCTATTTATTTTTAAAATTCTAATTGTATCTATGTCCAATCTTTTATTTATTTGCCTTTATTTTTTCTCCTTTTTCTGAAAAACTTTGTATTAATTACAATGACAACTAGAATTAGTTTGAAAAAAAGAAAGCAATCATGAAATCTTACCGTATTCGATCCAATGACCATAGAATATTAGAATATTTAATAAATTTATTAAAATATATATAATTTAATTACATATACAAGGGTCTGGAAAGGAAAATTGTAACGTTACAGTCGGACACATCTAGGCCATCCATTGCATATAGAGGGTAACTGACTACCACTTTATTTGGTAAATCACCATCCCCACCTAAATAATCTCCACCTACTCTCTCTGCAATCTATCCCCGCACTCTGATCTTCCCTGGTTGCCCCCTTCTTTCTTCCAGTTCCATTTTCCATCCGATTCCTTTCTTTTTTGAATTATCCTTTGACTAGTGCTAAGCGTGGCCCTGCCCAGATATAGTAATAGTTTGGTTTTGTTGTCTTAGCTGGAAGAATTTGTGGATTTTGGGGGGCCATGCCTGGTGTATGTGAGAATTATGATCAAACCTTGTATTTGTTAGATGGAGTGAATATGGTATTGCACGGAAGGCGGACTAAAATATGAAGCAAATGTTTGACCAGATGGCATAACTATTTCATTACGTTGTGTGCATGAGTGCTAAGTTTCTTTGGTGTGGCCGGCACCGATTATAGTCTTCAGAACATTTGTGATAGCTACGAAGAATGTGTATATTGGCTTGGACGAAAGCTTGATTTTTGTTCTATAAAAGTGGATTGTATCGTGTATTACAATCATTTCATTGTAGTAGTTGAAATTTATTTGTAAGAAAAGTAGTATGTAAATTTGTTATTTAGGTGCAATTAATTTTCAGATTTAGTGTGACGGAGCAAGATGTGTTTGTTAGTCAGTTAAAAGCGCTATCGATGGATGATGGGTTCTTCGATTGATACTCATTGAAAAAAGTTTTATTCGACAGAGTCGTAATTTGGGTCGTAGGTATCAACGTCGAACGAATCAATGACTTGTTTTAGTACATAATTTGGTAAGTATTACATTTTGTTTGCCACTATTTTATTTTTAAATTTTTTTAGGAATTTTCATGATGTTTATTTTGTAAGGTGATACGGTTTAAGCAGTTGCATGTTATAATGACTTTCATGTCTTGAATGAAATTTGACAACTGTATTCGATGTATTATATTGCAAAGCTACTGTTCATCGAGTCCTTATGAATTAGTAAACCAACTGAGAGGTATCTAGTGACACTTACATGATCTATTTCTACAAATTACTACTTACTATAAATTACCATAATCAATAGCATGTTGGAAAAACTAAAGATAGTTTTTAGTTGTAAGAGTACAATTTCATGTCACAAGATCCAACAGCACAAGACTCAAGGATTTCAATAAAATCTTCAATCGAAACTAATTAATCTACCATCCGGCATATAAGTATAAATCATCTAAGATTTGAAACTTAAACACTCATCAGTGTATAGGAAAAGGTATGTCAAGATTTTATGTGCCGGGAAGTTTCATGGATTTTTAGGTCGTTTAATGTTCCTGCTCATAACCTTGCTAAGTATGCTGTTAATCTTTCAGATTCTTGTATACGGAGAAACTCTCCTCCATCTTTTATTTGTTCTGCACTTGTTGCAGATTCGATCTCATGATTAATAAAATTATTCTATTTTTTTATCAAAAAAAAAAGTGTATAGGAAAAGGAGAGCATACAATATCAATTAACTACCAGTAAAAATGTTTACTCTAAACTACTCAATTTACCAACCAATATAATTAAGAACCGGCCAAAATCATATTGAGCTCGAGCTTGACTCGATCATGGAAAGCCAGACTCGAACTTGAGTCGACAAGGTTCACGAGTTGTAGTTTAATTTCTGATTCACGAGCAGCTCGAATTGTCAGCTTGTAACATAGCTCGAATCGAATTTCTGATTCGTGAGCAGCTCGTTAGCTCAAGTTTCTAAAAATTAATGTAACAAAAACAACAAATAATTATTTTTTCTTAATAAATAATAAAATATTAGAAATATATATATGTAATTTTACTATTAAAATAATAAATAAATAAATAAATATATATATATATATATATAGTCGAGTTTTGACTCGAACCGCTCGTTTTCAGCCTACCCCAAACTCCATCCCTAAAAAAAAGGAAAAAAAAAGGATTTATAATCTCTGTAGTCTCTACTACTACTTACCAGTGGCCATGTACTCTTTTTTTTTTTTTTTTCCGGAGACAACAATTGTAATATATCTTAATTCTAATCTATCCTACACTAAGGGGAGGGGGTGGACCTAAGGAGGTCCAAAGATAATTCGGAGGGGACTGAACCACCACCGAACCAAACGGGTGTACTACACACCCACCTGAATTTTTTGAAGCAAATCCACATTTTTTAATGTCAAACCTTGTTTTCCACCTCACCAAGCCTTAAAGGCTTGATGGTGACCATCAGTCCAAAGGCTGGTGGTTGAGTGGCCATGTACTCAAGAGCTACATAACCGTAAGTACCCAACACCCGGGTGGTGACATGGGAATAGTCGTTCACAGGGCCTAATTTGGCCGGTCCAAAATCAGACAGCTTTGCGTTGAAGTCCTGTATACACTTATGCCAGTCCAAAACCCAAAACCTAATTACGTATTATATGCTGCAATAAAGAAGTTAACAAAAAAAAAAAGAAAATGGTTTTCTTTTTCTTTTTTTATTTCTTGACTGTAAATTAAGCCACACCAGCCAACTAGCTAGCTGCCTGCAATTAATTATTCCTAGTTGCTGAAGAAGAATAAGAAGATGTTAAAAATTAGTAGCTAATTAATTAAGGTGGATAATTACCGAATCCAGCAAGATAATTAGAGGCCTTAAAATCCCGGTAGATGACTTGCTTTTCAGTTGCATGCAAGAAAGCAAGTCCTCTGGCCGCTCCTACGTCTTACCAAAATATGTTACAACTTAGTAGAAAATTAGGAGGTGCTCACCGCGCCTACGCGCGGTGTAAATTTCAAAGACGGACATGCCCAGTGTTGCTGAGCAAGCTAATAAGAAACTGTATTGTTGGATGTTTGAAACACAGGTCCATAGGAAACCTCGTCACTATTGCTCGTTCTGGAGAAGCTTCTAAGGCTCCTGAGAGTTCTCATAACTCCCTACAATGTTAACAGGTACACCCGCTGCCATCAGATTTAGCAGTGTATGCTCCAACAAGTAGTTGGTCATTTTAATCTCAAAATTGATGTAGTATAGAGAATCACAACATTCAACTAATAAGTACAATGCAGATCAATCAATTACACCTGATGGAAGATGATATAAATGAAAGTTATATTCAGAATGAAAATCCTCAAACCAAAAGACAATTCTTTAAATGTCTAATAACTTTTAGTACCTACTAGTTGGATTTTGCACCAATTCAGTCCCTCGGGTTCCATAAGAAACACATTTAGTGTCTTAACTTTCCAATATAGAACGATTAATTGACATAAAGCAAGCTAATCATAATTAGGTGAAGCACGCAAGGATGTTTAACTGTTGGCTTTGGAGGTAAACAAACATTACAGGGCAATATATGTTCCAGTCAATGGTTAAAAGCATTAGCTGATCTATGCAATGTAGAAGCCTTTCCACAATGCAGTAGCAGGTTGTCTGTTGATACCTATATATCACATTGCCTCCCAAATAGAGAGCATTGTGCTATGAAATATACGAAAAACATTTAGGCAATTGTGCAGAAAAAATGCCCATTGTCTTCTGTTTAACTGATGCCGAGAGCTAATGTCCACATGCAGTACTAGTTTCCTCTCGCAATTAATATCCAATTTCAGAACAACTATCCATGATATGTCCAAATTGAGAAGTTGATGAATAATGTGTGTTCCCAAAAGTTGACTGACCAAAAAAAAAGGATAATCATTTAATAGAGTAGCATTATTAAAAAGTGCTGAACAATTCGTAGCATCATGCGTAGGGACAATATATTAAGAACTTTGGAATAATCACCAAAAATTAAAAAATTTGATATTACTCCTCATACCTGATTAGACGCTGTTCCACCACTAATACCAGTATTTGCAAGAGCTCCTACACTGTGTTTATTCACATGTACTCAGACTTTTCCATGTTGGAGAAAGACCATGTCATCATCTCCAGGTGTTTCAATTACAGTAGCCAACCTTTTCCCAAGTCCCTTGACATACATTTGCTCACCAGACTGTGGTACATGCAACCTACTGTCCGTATTCCCAATAGAAAGACCATCAGTAGGCTGATGAGCTTCAACAAGGGATCCAATTGCAGACTCTGCTTTCTTCAGCAACAGATTGTACTTATCTGCATCAGCATTTTTAAGTTGGTTCTCAAATTCATGCACTATATCTTAAATTTCCTTCTTCACAGCCTTCAATTCCTGTTGGATCTGTTGGCTCTCCTTGGTCTCAAGAGCTGTCTCACGCCCTTCAAAGTGATCTGCCGCATTTATTTTCTTCAATTTAGGTAGGAAAAATGGAGTAAACAGAAAGTTATGAAGCAAAAGAGGGTGCAAACTGTGAGGTAACAAAGAAGAGTATTCACCACTTTCCACCCCTTTTAAAAGTTGAAGTGAAACAAAAGGGGAAAAATACTCTTGTACATAATATGATGTACTCACCTATATGTAATAGCATGTAGTGTATAAATAAAACACACTTATATAAATGGATACATGTATAGGTTAAGAAATTAAAATAAAAAATGATAGATATCATGGGAAACAGAAGTTGCCAAGAAGAGAGAAAAGCCATTCCTTGCCCACCAATACGAGCGAACACGTTACACTAGGGCTGTATGCAAGTGCTTCAGCTTACTGTGCAACTTATGTGACGATAAACATAAATGAAGGAAGCAGGCTAGATATGGAAATCAGGGACTGCAATAAAATAGGAGAAAAACATTTTCATTGCATATTGTCTCATAACAATTATCTCTTTCCTCAAAGATTAAATATTTACAATCATGCAACTTATGCATACCTCATAATAAATGCTCATAATATCCGAGTGAAGAGATGCAGCTTTATTTGCTTGAATTTCTAATCTACTTCTTTCTTCCATTAGTCACTGGTGCAGCAAATCTTTCTGCATCTGTACCTTCTGTGGGGTCAACTTGTTTATCCATGCTTGGGCACAGTTAATTATCTTCTCATCAAAGCCAATTCTTTTAGCAATGTTTATGGCATTGGATTCCCCTACGCTTCCCCAAATCATCTGGCATTGGATTCTTTTAGCAATGAAGCCTGTCATAGTCCAGTCCACATTCACCAATTGCTGCCACCTTACAAAAATTAAATTGTCGCATTAAGAAAATTGAGGAAGATACACGTATCTAAAGTAATCTTTTCTATGTTCTTCTAAATGCAGCACTTTAGTTTACCTTTTCCTTTCTCAACCCCCTCTTTAGTCAATGAGAGAAGAGACTGAAAATGCTTTTCGGGATCCCCACTCTCATCAAATTCCTGAATCGATCACAAATGTATCCATTCATCCTTATTCTCACACATTCAATAACTTAAGGATGGCATTCAGAAGAGTATCAACAGCCACTTTGCATCTTGTTGGGTGCACATCAACCATGCAAAAAAGTCTTGCTGCAAGGGAAAATGGATTGCCAAGAATATAGGGTATAAGGCGCCAAGCGAGAGACAAATGGCAGAGAAAGATGAAAAATCTAACGAAGGAAAACGTGTCTGGCTAACCATCAGTTTCAGCAATAGCAAGAGCTTCTTTTGATTCCTCTAGAAATCCACCAGTAACCTAGGACAGAAAACGCAAGACAACTAAAGAATCATTTAGCATGATTAATCCCGATTACAGAAGGCAAATAACCAACCTTACCAACAAGAAATAAACCTCTCAGTTCTGTTACTCCAATAAAACGGAATGAATTACAAATCAGCAAATTTTACAAGCTCATCCATCCTCTATGATATTAAAACAAGAGGTTGAACTTCTCCAAAAGTGAAACTTCAAAAGACCCAAAGTTCATATTCTCTCAATTTATTGAGCAAGCCAAACTATCAAACAGCCTGAGTTAATAATACCGTCTATCTAACTACAAATAGAGTTTCATTTTGTGGGACCGCTGATACTCCTTTTCCAACCCCTGAAAAAAAAAGAAAAAAAAAAACCCTACTAATAGGCTGCAAACTTATCCTTTGCAACAAACTAATAGTAATACCAACCAGAAAAATAGTCGCACGAGACATATCCGTATGAAAAAGATCAAAGTTTTGTTCAGGGATATATACTTACAATAATTCGATCAACACCGGCGCTCCGAGCCCTGCTGAGTACTGCAACAATATCTGCCACATGGTATTTCTTGCCGTTGTATATTCCTTTGAACATACCATCTGTAATTGAGATTCATTTATGCATTAAAAGTAGGTTTACTGAAAAAACTATGTTTCACGGAAAGTGTTTTAGAAAGATTTAAGATTTGACATACCAGTGAGATTGACTGCTATATCTGTTCAAGTTAAAACCCCACAAATACTATATCATTAAACATGATTAAAATGACTCGGTGCCTTATTCAAGACAAATACAGAAAAGGGTTACTTGCCAATCATTCGGATAGTCGTCATTAGTGAAAGTTGGAGTCTTTTTGGGTGTCTGTCTGCCTGAGAGTCCGCTTGAGATGAGATCAACTGGAAGTCTAGAACAGCAAATAAAATTTAATAGAAAATAAAAGAAAATTTAATCAAGGGGCAAAAACAGCATACACAAAATTAAAATGGAGAATGCAGTGGACTTGAGAGACAAACAAAAAACAAAAAACAGAGAGAGATGGAGAGAAGAATATTGACTTGTGTTAAAAAAAATAGCGAAGAGGGGCAAAAGAGCAGAGTAAGATTGATTGATTGAGAAAAGGAAAAGGGAAAACAAAAGGTGAGAGAAAAAATGCACCTTTTGGAGAAAATGCACCTCAGGTTCCAATCAAATCTGCAAAATTGCACAAGAAAGAAATACAAAGGGCATAAAAATGTTCACCTTGTTCTCTCTATTTTGATGGATAAAACGTCGGTTGGCAGCTGGCTCACCTGACCAATCTTTATGAAGGAGAGCAAAACGAAGAAGCAGCTTCGAAGAAATAGAGCAATAAAAGAGAAAATGAGAACCGAACAAAGCAGCTCCTAAAGATAATCATGTAAGAGAGAAGATAGGATGTTGTGCTATAAACAATGATACAAAAAAGGAATGCAAAAATTAAACACATCACTAACCATTAGCACAAGAAGAAAATGCCGGCAACAATGCATAGCTCTACCTGCAGCGGCGGGTTGGACAGAGCAAAGAAACAGCGGTGGGTTGGACAGAGCAAAGAAACTGCTACAGTCCTCCTTTCAATAGCCGTCAACAGTGATAGAGTTATGGTTTTTACAAATACAACCCAAAGGTAAATAGAAATTGACCTCCTGACATGAGCATGAAGAACAAGAAGAAAACAGTAAGAACAAAATGAATTGTTATGACCGGTAAGAAAAATATAATGGAAGGGCAAAATTGTAATACAACTGTCCTTATAGTCAACTGAGCTCAGTTATTACAATGATGACAATCAAGTCCCAACACGGGAACACATATTGGGAAAAGCCGAAACAGAAATGCTGCTAAAGGGGTCCAATCGGATGCAAGGAAAGTGAAGGCATGCAGCATTCATTTGAAAAATACAGTAATAACATTTCCATTCGGAATTTTTGTTTGCACAAACAGGGGCAATCCTCACGTACAAGGACGATCATAAATCGTCCAATAATATTTTGCCACATCACAAAAAAAGAGCTCTCTTGGCACACCTCTACGCATTTAGTACATATGTGTTAATTAATGGTAAAGATGTTAGGATAGTTAAGGGGGGAAAAGAGGAGAAAGACCAACAAGATAAAGACATCAGAGGAAAAGAGGAGGGGAGCGGGAGAAGGAAGGAATTCAGAAGATGAAGTAATGTTTGGGTTATGGATAAATTAGCATTTTTAAAGAAGCGTTTTGTAGTATAGCAAAACTTGTTACGGTAGGTAATTGTAAGTTTGTAGATTACAGTGTCAGTGGTCTTAAACATGACTCTACTACTAATTGTTAATCAAAAACTATTGTAATATAGGTAGATTAATCACAAAATTAAATGCATTTATGTGAATAAAAGAGTAAGGGATAATATCAAAAACCTCCCATGAGGTTTATCTTTATATCATTTAGCACTCATAAGGTTTTAAAAATATCATTTATCTCCTTTACTTTTGTTATTTGTGTAACAAAATTTTTAAAAGCCACTTAATTGCGGTAACCCCAAGACTTTTAAGTCTTGGGAAAGTGGGAGTTCAAGGGTTCAACCCTTGTCTCCCACCAAACTTGCCACTTAATTGTGGCTGCCACCTTCGGGTGGCTTCTTTCGACGGGGTTTTCCGTCCACTCTCCCTTCCCTTAGACTAGGTTATATAACTGTTATCATTGCGATAAAAAAATAACAAAATTTTTAAAAACCCTAAACTACCCATTTTTCTAAATAGAAATGCTTCTTAGGCACTTTCTTTGCTTCAAAAAAAATCATCACCTAAAATGCAATTTCTAGTAGTTCAACCACATCACAAAGTTATAAATAGTCTATAAAAATATAAATTTTAAATATGAAAAGGATGTTTGTAAATAAATACGCTAGCATTAATTCAACTCTATATGCTCAAAATTGATTTCTTATGAATCTTATTTTTTGTTTAACCTCTTCTCAACTGCAGACTCAAGCCTTTGAGTTGTACTAAATCATTATAAAGATCAATTCAAAATAAACAAAAAAAATCATACTGCCACTCTATCACAATCATAAAAAGTAAAAGATAAGCAAAATTTAATTTACTATAATTTATAAATAAAAAATTGCATAATCATCCAAAAAAAAAAAGTAAGAGAGAGTGTTGGAAAAAGGGGAAATAAAAGAAAGTGACTTTTCTTTCTTTTTTTTTTAAAAAAAAATTTTTGAGCTCCATTCATTAGACATGTGAATTATGTATCAAGCGAGGATTAACAAAGTTATTTTGTTACGGGAGGTAAGTGATATTTTTAAAACATAAGAGTCATTAAGTTACATTGGGAGAAACCTAAGAAGGGGAAGTTTCTGATATTATCCCGCAGAGTAATTTGGACTTTGATTGTGTAACAGAATGGTCCCAACTCCCAATCTTCGGTAAATATTCATGGTACGTGTCACACTTGAAGCCAAAAGTTGGACCTGGCTTCAAATAAATTTCAAGCATGAGATGAGATGAGATGAACCCTGCCCCTGTTACACAACTTACAAGACAAGACCACACCTTTATGCTCCTTATGCTAAACAGCTAAAGCCAAGAGTTGAACAATGACATAGTAACCGTTTTTCTTGGAGTTTCTGCGTTAATCTTCCAGCTAAACTGAAGTACCAGTTAATTACAAGTACTTCCCTCCAACAGAATTGAGGCAACCGCTGTGCTTGATCAATTTGGTAAAAGATAATTTGAACTTTACATAATGATTAGTCATAAAATTTTGGGATAATTTCAGAAATCTTCCCTGAGATTTCTGATAATTTCACTGAGCTCCCATGGGGTTTGAAAAATTATACATACCTCCCTTATCATTTAAAATGACAATTTTATCCTTAAATATGTTAATAAAATTCTCTTATTTGGCATGCTTATACTTAGAATAAGTTTTAAAATTATTTTTTCATTCTTTTTCGTTCTTATTCCTTTTTTTAAAAAAATTTTCGCCAATAAAATTGTAAAACTACCACTATTGCCTCTAGATTTCTGAATTAATTTTATCTATAATCCAATATTTTTGCTGATCTTTGTTTTCTATCTTTTGGTATTAAAATTAACAATAAATCAAAAAGAAATGGCACAAAAGCACTACTAAATTATGATAATCCCACTACTCCAAAATTTTATAAATTTTAAATGAATTATTTCAACATTTTTTTCTATCTTATAAATCTAAATCCATAATAAATTACCATAAAAAATATCATATCATAGTAATAAAATTATTATTATAGCTGTTTGTCAAATAGTAGATATAGACATGAAAAATTTGGTACTTTTTCCTTATAATTATATTAAATAATCTTATAAGTGTATAGGAAAATAAATTAAAACTCATCCTACAAGGGCATTTTTGGGTATTCATTTAAAATATTATCCAAGTCAATATTATTTTAAAATTTTATTATTAAAACTATCAAATCAACGAAGATGAGTGTAATTTTCTGAAATTATCCCTAGAACTTTTCCATATGGACCCCAATTGGATTTTACTTTGTTGTTAGAAACTAAAACATTTTTCTCCAAATTGACCAAATACATTTTTCACATGCTTGATAAGTCTTGCAATTTCTCAAATAAATAATAATGTGGCCAAGTTTTTGAAGATTTTTCCCACCTTTCAGCTTTTTACAGCTGATGCACCCAAAATTAGTTTCAATGATGGGGGTGATGCGCCTCATCCACAAAGTTTTGCGCCCCCCCTTTCAGTCTTTATCTGGAAGTTCGTACTATCCCCACAAGCCAAAAACCACACACAACACACACACTCAGGTCCGTCTTCAGCTGTGTATACTGTATACATGCATGAAGATAACCTCTGTTTGAAACCTGCGGGAGTCAGGACACTGACAAACTACTGCCATTAAAGAAGCTGCAATGGTAACTTTGACAGCTACTTCCCTTTCATCATCATCATCGCCCCTTAATTTGATCACAAGAAGACCCTTTGGAACAAAGATTAAAAATCCAATCTTGCATAATTCGTTTAGCTATCAACACCCCACCAATTCACATCTCCCTTCATATCAGTTCAAGAAAGCAAAATTCGAGCTTTCCACGGCCATCTCTTCCACTGATACCGTGCCAGCGGCTGATCAATCATCCAAAGACGCTTCGTTTGGTCAACAAACTGAGACTTCAGAAAAAGATGAGAAATTTGATTGGTATGCACAATGGTATCCACTGATGCCTGTTTGTGATCTTGACAAAAGGAGGCCACTTGGGAAGAAAGTGATGGGAATTGATATTGTTGTGTGGTGGGATAGGAATGAGAATGAGTGGAAGGTGTTTGATGATACTTGTCCTCATAGGTTGGCTCCTTTGTCTGAAGGAAGGATTGATCAGTGGGGCAGGTTGCAGTGTGTTTATCATGGTTGGTGCTTTGGTGGTTCTGGCGATTGCCAGTTCATTCCACAAGCACCACGAGATGGTCCTCCGGTAATTGAAATTGCTAACAAGTTCATTTTCATGATTGTGAATTATGTGAAGTATGCGTCTTTCTTATCCGCTAGTTCTCCTTTTCGATGCATTGATCTTCAGTCAGTGTCATTGTTGCTGTTTGCTACACTCATATTTGTTTAATCACTGTGCAAGTCACATGCTTTCCTTTTGCCTTATCCTCTGTTATATCTAAATTTTTAGTAACTTTCTTGAGAGCAAATTATCCGTATAGCCAATGAACTTTTGGAATCGTCGAATTTTAATCACTGAACTATTGAAAGTCTGATTTTAACCATTGAACTATTTAAAGTTTAGATTCCGGACCATTCCGTTAGATTTAATCATTAACTATGCCCTTTTCTTTTGTCTCGTGAATCGTGCGATCACTTGTATCTATCATGTTTAACGATGAAATCTAACGGAATGACCTAAAATCTAAACTTGAGATAGTTCAATGGCCAAAACCAAACTTTTAATAGTTCAATGATCAAAACTCGATGATTCCAAAAGTTTGGTGGCCGTCCAGATAATTTGCTCTTTCTTGAAGAATGTAGTAGCTGAAAGATTAAAGCTATTATAGCACATAAATGACAATAGTGAAGGTAGGACCGTTATCAATAGCAGACTAGCTGTGGAAAGCCAATTTTTTGACATATATAATCAAGTTTGGAAGAAAGCTCCAAAGTTTTATATGCCTATTTGAATAGCACAAGATTGACTTTGAATTTGTACATAGGCAGATATTCATCACTAGCACTGAAGCAGGCAAAACACTCTAGATATGATGGAAACTTCTCAAGTATAATGCACACTTTACCTAGCCATTGCAAGAAGTTATTTGTGTCTTATTCGGATACAACGATAACTTGTTGGTGGCATTTAAGGCGAGGATCATTGAATGGGGATATTCAATTTTAACTGACAATTAGTCATATGAATTTCGGATTCCTCCACCAGAAATTACCCAGAAACTTTATATGCAAACCATGAGCTACAAATCTGAATCTAGCAGAGGAAGTGGATGAGAATTCAGTGAAATTGGATTGGTGAAATTTTTATTTGATGTAGGCTTGATCTTTATGATAGAATGGCCATAGTGTCTTTTATACCTTAGGATTAGATGATGGAATCCAATTTAAAATATTTAATAACTTCCACATCTAATACACTTGTAAGCTTTCACATACATACATATCTACTCTGAACTCGAGGCCCTTTGTAGATAGGGAATCAAGAATAGCTGGGGGAAAGAAGCAGAACTCATTTGACCAAACTCACTGAAAATTTTCAGGTTTTAGTAGTCTGCCTACTGTCTGGTTATTTCAATACGACATTTCCGCTTGTTTTTACCTTTTCGTACTCAAAATCTCCTCGTTTAAAGAGTAAAAGAACTTTAAGTGTTCATCAGCCATTATCTCGTTTAAAGAGTAAAAAGAACTTTAAGTGTTCATCAGCCATTATGAACTTGAAATCTACAAAAAATTTTGCCACTTCTCTTTTTCCATTTTTTTTTCAATTAATTCTCCACCAAGGCTCTATGAGAAGATGCATAATATTCTGATAAGCGATTTTTCTTTATCTACCAATCAAGCTTGGCTTGGTTCAAAACTTGAATTACCTCTATGTTGGACAGTTATTCAATGAATATTGTTTCCAGTTGTTGTGAACATCTTTTATGCAATACTAAATTTAGAAATTTTGAATATTGCCAATAGCTTTCTACTGTTTAAGTATGACAGTTTGGAGCTTCATTCTGATACTTGATGCTATGGAAATGCATTTGCTTACTTTGTTGTACATAGCAGATAAATCATGTCTAAGCATGCAAACCTTGCCATTTCCAATGTACCTAAACCAAAGCATGATGGATTGACATTTTGCTTGGAAGTTCAGATCCATACTTCTAGCAAAGCATGTGTAGCTGCATATCCAAGTTGTGTGCAAAATGGCATTCTTTGGTTTTGGCCTAATGCTGATAACCGGTACAAAGACATATTTTCGAAGGAAAAGCCTCCATACATCCCGGAAATTGATGATCCATCCTTTACCAGTCGGATGATCACTAGAGATATACAATATGGGTAAGCAATTAGTTGCCCCCTTTATTATAGTTTTTGTGGTTGTTGTTGTTCCACGCTCATACTAGGCAAATCTTCATTTGCACTCTAATCACATTGAAAAGGCTGCTATCTCTATGGAATGCTAAACTAAATTGCTTTCACTGTTACTTGTGTCGGTATTCAATACATGCTCTGGGTAATGCAAAGGAAAAAGAAAGAAATTCATTAGCTTCCTTCAAGAAGGGTGAGAAAAATGCGGGAAAAATCAATAAAGAGAAATAGGTAAAACTCAAAAGATGGTAAAACTAAAAGGTTTTGGTTCTTGTGTTCATGTTATGAAGTGTAATAAGAAAAACAGAAAAAGTGATTGAAAAGTTATGTCAAATAATGTTTGTTTTATTCTTAAGTTGCTTCTGATAGCCAAGCATTTACAGGTACGAGGTTCTGATTGAAAATCTTATGGACCCTTCTCATGTTCCGTATGCACATTATGGCATAATGAGAGCCCCACAGCCCTCAAAGAGATAAGAGCCTTTACCTTATAATTTGAGAATGTTTGCTGTTCCTAACCTTTTTTATGGGTTCCAAATTACTAATAGTTTCTTTTCTGCATTTTCCTGCACTGTTAAGGTTGACAGGGAAGGAGGCAGACCACTTGAGATAAGGGTAAAGACATTAGACAAAAAGGGTTTCACTGCAAAATCATCGACAATTTCAGATAACATATTTATTCCACCTTGTGTTTTTTATTCCTCCGGGTCATTAGGAGGCAATCCAGATAATATATCTGCTTCACCAGCTGGAACCACAGAGGTAATTGATTGGTAATATTGAAGTTAGTCATTGTTTCTTAATTATTTCTTTTCTATAATATCTACCTTGTTTCTTAATTATTTCTTTTCTATAATATCTACCTATCGTTGTATAATTGTCCATTTATAGCATTCATATAAGGGATAACTATATGCAGAATCCATCCACACCTAAGCCGGTGAAGAAGATACTTTTGGTGTTCCTGTGTATTCCAGTTAGCCCAGGCAATAGCAGATTGATATTTACCTCACCAAGGAATTTTGGCGTCTGGATAGATCGTATTGTTCCGCGCTGGATATTTCATCTGAACCAAAATCTAGTTCTAGATTCAGATTTATATCTTCTCCATGTGGAGGTACTCCCTGGAACTTTTCCTCTTCTCTTTTCTACAACAGGGGTCCATGTACATGTCCAAATCTTCAGTCATGGTAATTTGAACATCAGAATGTCATGGTTGCAACTCTATATTGAAATTTTCAATTCTCCAAAGAAAATCTAGAGCATAAGGGCCATTATGATGAAATGAGAACGTGCATGGTGGCAAATACATATGAGCTGTGTATTCTGGAGTACATGATTACTAGAATATTACGTTTTAGTCATATTGGAAGAGTTTTGAGGCTGCATAGCACTATCAGAAGCTTTTAGGACCAATGATCCTACTTTTGACATATTATGCTGAACAGTCTTAACAATTATGCTGGACAATATTAACAACTAAAGGAACTCATTCTCTAGAAAATTACCTTTGTGTTCAATGTGAACTTTTAAATGCACACCAACTTAACCAGTTTAAGCACCAAAAACAAAAAATTAAATTATCATTTTGGTGTTAGCGTATTCAAAGAACTGTAATTAAGAGATGATAGCCAAACACAAATTTTGATCAAACAACTGTAGTGTGATACTGCATAATATTCACTTGGTGTCTTTTTTTTCAAGCATGAGGCTGCAAGGCCAGAACTGCAGGACTTGAACGGTGATAATAAATTGGATGGCCACAAACATTAGCCTTTGCAACGACACAAATAAAACATATCCAGAATTGAAAAGAAAAGGAAAATATGATAGAGTTCATAGCTAGGGTTTCTGTGCAGACCATCCACCATTTAAGGTTTCCTAAGCTTGGGTATCATGTCCTCTATCATATTTCTATCTGGAAACATGTCAAACTTTGTAAATCTTCGCGAAAAGTAGTAGCCTGATTTACTAATTATTGTGTTCATTCTATTCTTTAGGAGCGGAAGATAAAGGAATTTGGGTCCTTAAACTGGCATAAAGCTTGCTTTGTTCCCACAAAGGCAGATGCCCTTGTGGTGGGCTTCAGAAGGTGGTTAAACAAGTATAGCAATGGTCAAATTGACTGGGGAACAAAGTACACTGGATCTCTCCCACCCACTCCGCCAAGAGAGCAGCTTATGGACAGGTACATCACTTCCAGTTTCAGTGAAATATTGGCCTTTTCTTCTTTTTATTTGTGTTGATAGAAACAGTAGAGATGATCACTCTTCCATACAGAAACTTCAAAATAAGTTTCTGTAACCCAACGTTCCATGTCGTGCTACATGCAAAATACAAGCTTATATAGGTAAAAAGCTCTAAGAAATTCTTAAATTTCAACTTTATTTCATTCCTAATCCAGTCTTTGATCTGTTCACCCCCCCCCCCCCAACAACCCACACACCAAAAAAAAAAACCCCTGTACTGTCTCTCTGGAGGACCAAAGTTTGGCAGCTAGGATGGTTGTAAGACGGAAAGGAACTATATGTTGAAAGGAACTATGGAGCCAATCTTAAGACCAATTGGTCAGGAATCAAGAATGCTTTCGATTGCTTGGTTGAAAGACCAAGTGTTCTTCGTTTCTTTATTTACTAGATAACATGCATGTTCTTTATCAACCTGAGACATTGTTCTTATCTTCATGTTCTCTTCAGAATATGTGACGTACAATAGACTTAGAAAAGTTTACCCAACAAGGAATATTTTTCATGATTACATGTTGACCTATTCCTTCAGGTACTGGAGTCATACAGTCAGCTGCAGTAGTTGCAATCTAGCATATAAAGGGCTCAATGCACTAGAGATTGTGTTGCAAGTCTTCTCTCTTGCTTCAATTGGAATTGTTGCTGCTGCAAAACAGGGTGCACTATCCGCAGCAGCAAGAAGCACTCTGGTCTCAGTAGCTATTATCAGCTTTTTGGTTTCCAAGTGGTTATCCCACTTTGTTTACAAGAACTTCCATTTTCATGACTACGATCACGCATCGCGCTGAGATACATCTGTCAGCTACTTAACCAGAGTTTTAGATGAAAGAGATGACAGGAAAAATATTCATCAGTGTCTTTGTACATATATCACTTAGAAGCATTTAGATACATAATTCTATGTACACACATTCACATAGAGTCTGGTACAGACATTAATAAGAAAGACTAAAGGTTTTTATATCATCCTGTAATTTAATTTCTAAATTATATGGCTATACGTTGTGCAGAATTTCCTCTACCAGAATCATGCAACAGAACAAGGAAAGGACGATGGTCCAAACATTATGAGTATTATGCATATAATGGATGTGCATAATACTGAGTTAAAATGGAATAGAACCGTAGTTGGAATATGCAATTTCCATAATGGGAGTTATGCTATCCATCAAGAAGATAATCTTGTTTTCATTAGTATGACATTGGATAAGATAGATTTCTTGGAACATTACCATACATGCATGATTTTCTTCCAAACATAATAAGCTATAAAAGCTTGCAAACCTTTTTTTTTGTTCAAGTATGTCATGGTTTAGCAGGTAATCTAGCACACAAGGCATAGATTAGAACTATGACTTGTCTCACTTAACTTTTTAGTATGTCTTAATCTTTTACTCAAAAATCAACATCACTTGTCATTTTAACTATGTTCATATTTCTCTAGCCCCAAATGTGGGGGTTTTTGGGACATTGCGTACCGTTCTAGTCACAGACACAAGGCGTCTTGAACTTGCTTAGACAAAATCACTAAAGATTATAAACTTTAGTTCAACATTAACACAGACATCACTAATAATAATAACGTGCATTGCCATTTATGCAGTCTATAATGTTGGAACGCAGAGTATAAAGTTGGAATTGGTGGCCATATATGTAGGATGAGTGAAGAAGCTTATGGTATTGGTGAAAATGTTGAAAAAAAAAGTGGAAAAATGCAGAAAGTTATGTATGTACTCTTTTATTCACTTAAATTACTAATAATAAATAGACTGTGATAGGATGACATTTTCACGAATAGCAAAGGATAATTTACCGGCAAACTGGTATATTTTATACTATATGTTAAAAACCAAAACAATTTACTTTAAAATTCTGGGAGACTAAAAATGTATAAGTTACAAATGCTATAAGTTACAATTTACTTTAAAAAGCTATAAGTTACTAAAAAGGTATATTTTATACTACTATAAGTTACAATTTACTTTAAAATTCTGGGACCATTTCTACAGGTTTTCCTAAATTGAGAAAGAAGCTGCCAATAAGTTCTAACAATACCGAGACAAAAGCATAGTGATAAATTAATTAAATGCCCAATTCACATTAAAGTGCAATGGAAAGATTGAAAAATACTCACCACCTATTGTTCTTGGTCATTTCATCATGTTACTTAACATTATAGGATAATTGCAGAAACCTCCTTTGAGGTTTTTGACACCAGCATTCACCTTCTCTATGATTTCTAAAATTGCACTAACCTCCCCTAGAAGGAAATTGGACCTATTACTAACAATAAATTGTATGATTTACTTTTATACCCTAACTAATTGCAGACACTTAATGAAAGGATTTTAGAAAAGAAAAATAAATTTTTGTCAACAAATTGAGTGACTAATTAAACTAAATTCCTTGCAAGTTTTGGCATCATTAGCCATTGTAAGCAAACCTAAGGAATGGTGCCAATTGAGGGGAGAAAACGGCGTAAATGTTTCTATATTATGCTTTTCAAACCAGTCAATTTAAGTCTAATTTTATACAACTGCAGAGAGGAAGGCCAGTAAGCAATTCTAGAGGTTCTACTAAAGTAAGTATAAAGAGAACTTGCACAAATATATCTGCTCAAGTCATTTCTATTTCCAAACCTCTTCCAGTTCAACCTATTACTACTTCGCAAGTTGCTACATCTCTTTCCATTAATACAATTATAATCCTATAATCTGGAAATATCAACAACAGCAGTAGTTTTAATACGTGGTTTTAATGCACTTACTGCAGTTTTCATTTACTAAAAATAAGTTTATCTTATTAGTAGGCACTTCTAATTACTTGTAACTAGACTTATCTCATACTCAATAACTTTTAGTGATGCTTAAGTATGCTGTTAATTAGCTGATTATTCAGTGATATATATCTTTTTTGTATATGATTGGTGCTGACAACATAAGCAGGTGTGTTACTCCCAGAAATAGCTATTCATATTACTAATAGAGAATTTTAAAAGTGATGTGTATTATTTATAAACTTTGCTGCAAGAACCTGGATATATAATCATTTAACTAGCCGTTAGTATCCACCGTTGCTTCATGTATTCTTGGTAAACTTTATTCAATTGAACTTACACCCCTTGAATTTTGTTAATTCTTAATAGTTTTTCATATTTTGTCATTCCTCTATTAATATAACTTGGAAAGCAGCATGAAAGGCAAATTTGGTATAAATATCTCATCTCACTCCTTAAAAAAAATTTTTAATGTTAACTTTCCTGCCATGGACTGAATTTGCAACACAAACCTTAAGTTCAAGGGTGGTAAGTGCTATTTTCTAAACTATAAGGGAGGTGAGTGCTAATATCAGAAATCTTAGGGGAGGTTTCTGCAATTGTCCCTAAAATTATATCATAAGAGGGCACCCACAAAAATGTTTGTCTAGTTTTTGACACTAGTGCCTGACAGTTCTACACTTTACCTAGTTACTTACGTTTGGATAGCAAATTTTTTCAAAAATTTTTTTTGTACGCATCAGAAACACATTTCCTAATCCATCTCTTTATATTCTCAATCGTTTTTTTAACTTATATACATCACATCACAAAAAGTGCTATAATGATTATTTTAAATAATTATTTAGAATAATACTCTATCCAAACAAAGTCCAAGGTTGTGGAAAATATCTCAATGATTTGTCGGAGTTGTGAATAGGTCCTCCTCCCCCACCCCGAACAACACAAACCAATGTCCCCAAACCCAGCACCCACCCAAAAAAAAGGTCAACGATCAAAATGTAAAAGAGAAAAGGAAATAACAACCATAGCTGGTGACTTTGCAACATCAATTACTTCAGTCATTAGTCCTTGGGAAATAGACTAAAAAGTTATTTTGTAGGGAAAAAACTGAAAAAATAACCGCTGGTTCACTTATCAAAAACATGGAGTGGACTTAGGGGGTGCTTGGTTCATGCTCTGGAATTGGAATAGAATACAGAATGAATTATAAAAATCAGTATGCGTATAAGCTCCTGGTATCATTGAAATCACTACTGCTTGCTACAATTTTTAGTGGAATGGGTATCAAAATTATTATTGCATTTTGCCCTATTTTTTTTTTTTGTTGGGTTCAATCATACTGGCCTTTAGCAGCAATCGCCAGCCATCGTCAGACCATCCCCAATCAAGACCTTTTTTTTTTTAAATTTTTTGTTCAGACATAACTCATATGATGAAGCAACGCCACCTTTTCTTTTTTCTTGTCAATTGATACAATCCAAATTCAGAACTTGTCAATGGCTTGCAAACAGATTTTTTGAACTTTGAGTGGAGTGACTGTGAGAACCCGTAATTTTTCCATTTTTAGGTTTTATTCGGGTTAATGGCTTGTTTTCTGCATTTTCTTTATTAGGAAAATTTTCTAGATAATTTTTATGAGTAAATATAGTTTTTAGATGATTTTTCTAGTATCGAATAGGTTTTGAGAAATTAAGAGTGTATACCGGACGTGGGACCCACTAGTGTGAAAAGTTCGGAAAAATTCGGTCAACTAGGTTAAGTTTTGGATACTGGATTTAATTTACCGGGTGTTAAGAGAGAAGTAGAGGATGCTAAGTGAATTGGTATAAGAGAGACAAAAGTTAGGCAAGCATTAATGAAGGTGACAAGTGTCACCATGGGATTTGGTTTTAAGTAAGACCACTATTCACCTTTTGTCCAATTGACCAAATAAATCACAAAAATCACCAAAAATTCACCATTTTTCTCTTCATCTTGGCCGGCCCTCTCTCTCAAGAAGAAAGAAAGAAACTCTCCAAGTTCTTGATTCCATCTTGTTCCAAATCATCAAAACAACCACTTAATCTTACTTTTGTTCCATAGAAAACCTTAAGTGAGTGTTTGTGTGGGGTTTGGTGGAGTTGTTTGGGAAGCTAAGAGGACTTGTTGCTCTCTCTCTCTTGTTTCTAAGGTGAGTTATGAAGAACCACTCTCCTCCCTCTAATGATGCTTAATTTATGCTTAGTGGTGGTATAAGATGCAACTTTATGGATTATATTGTGATTTTTGGTTAAATTGATGAAGTTTTGTAATTATTGGGGATTTTTCTGTTTTAATATGAATATGATTGTGTGGCTATGTATGATGATTGGAAATGGTGTGTAAGGGACCTAGGAGGTGGAAAAAGTGGATAATTGCAAGCAATTTCTGTTTTGGAAGAAATTTTGGAAAGTTAGGGTTTATGAAATTACATTCTGCCCGGTTTTGTAGCTCATAGTTAGAGGCCGAATTGGCCTTGGCTTAAAACATAAAAGTTGTAGGGAATGATATTTTAGAGGTGCCTGCAAAATTTCAAGTCAATCGGAGTAGCGTAACTTGAGAAAAGTCGAAATTACCCTTTCTGTCCTGGTTTTACCCAAATTTGAGAATTGCTTCTATCATGGGTTGTTTTGGTTAGCAATGCTTCCGAATTGGTTGTTGAGGTCTTCTGATGAAATGTAGCCCTGTTTCTAAGCTTTCGGATGGCTTTGGAATTTCTGGATTTGGACTTAGGTAGGCTGATTTATGATGTTTACACCAGAATGTGTTTTGTGAATCTGTTTTTCCGGTTCTGGTGTAGTATCTTGCATTTTTTACCTAGTTACACTCGAAACTGGGTTGAGTGACCTTCTGTAATATTGTAACCCTATCTCTTAGTTTCGAAACGGTGAGTCTTGCACCTTCATCCGATAATCGTAGTGCCTTTGGTGCCATTACCGCAAAATGAGGTCGAAAACTATTTTTTTCAGGGTTAAATCTAGTTTCATTTCCGGATTTTCTGGTTTCCCCTAATGCTTGTATATGCTTATGGAACCCTATTTTGGGAATATTTGGCATTGGTTTATGACTCGTTATCGAGTTTCATTGTACTTGTTTGCATGTTTTAGGGCGTGACGGTGGTTCACGACGTTCTTTTGACGGAAGTGCATGAAACACCATTTGCAAGCTT